TTGAGACAGAGTTTTCCTCTTGTTGCCCAGGCTGGAGTGCAATGGCGGGATCTTGGCTCGCTGCAACCTACACCTCCCGGGTTTAAGCAATTCTCCTGCCTCACTCAGCCTCCCAAGTTGCTGGGATTACAGGCACACGCCACCATGCCCTGCTAATTTTTTGTATTTTTAGTAGAGACAGGGTTTCACCATGTTGGCCGGGCTGGTCTCTAACTCCTGACCTCAGGTGATCCACCTGCTCAGCCTCCCAAATTGCTGGGATTGCAGGTGTGAGCCACGGCAGCTGGCCCGATATTACATATTTAAAGCCGTCTTCAGTTTGTCTTATTAAACATTTTCTCAAATATTAATTTTATTTCTCAAATTGCCATTTCTCTATTTCATGATGTTGGTTTTTTTCAGAGATTCTTAGTTTTATCTTTTTCCTGTTTGTGTGTGGAAGACTTTTGTGTTTGCATTGCTTGTTTCTGGGAGGGGTGTGACATGTTGTTTGGTAGTATGTACACATAGGTTTTCTTCTGACATTGTGGTTTCTCTGTCTTTTGGGGGGCCAATAGCAGCCTGGATTGGTATCTTCTTTCTCTGGTCCCAGTGCTACCGCTGTAGTCTCAGTACACGGAATGTCTCTTGTTTATCATGAACAACGTAATGGGGAAGGGGAGAGAAGAGTTAACCCTGTTCCAAATATGGCTACTAGTGACTCATTCTTTCCATTGACATGAGGCTTATTACCTCTTCTTGTATCCATTGAATCTAGTATTTCTAGATTTTTAAATTGCTCCTGCCTCCTCAGCTCTTCTTTGTGTGAGTTATATGCAGTAGTTCATCTAGTTTTCAGAAAGTTGTTTTCTTTAAACTATAGTGAATTCTTCTGTCATTCTTTCACGTTTTATGTTCCTTGTTCCTGTTCTGTTTCTTTTTTAAAATGTTTCTATTTAAATAATTTCTCCTGTATTGTGTTCTCCATGAGGGTAAATACTTATTTATGTTTGAATGAGGCACCCATATAAAAATTTTTTCTGATACTGTTTTTCTATTATGTATGCTCAAGTCTAAAATAAAAGATCTCATAAATTTTAACTTAGTTTTGGTTATAAAATAGTTTGCCTTTTTCAATAGTAATAATAACTTTTAAAATTTTTGTTCTGATTATGGTTTTGGGTTTGGGTTTTTAAAAATGTTTCCTTTTCCTTTTATTTTCCAGCTCTTTTATGCCTTTCAAGATGATAGGTATCTGTACATGGTAATGGAGTACATGCCTGGTGGAGACCTTGTAAACCTCATGAGTAATTATGATGTGCCTGAAAAATGGGCCAAATTTTACACTGCTGAAGTTGTTCTTGCTCTGGATGCAATACACTCCATGGGTTTAATACACAGAGATGTGAAGCCTGACAACATGCTCTTGGATAAACATGGACATCTAAAATTAGCAGATTTTGGCACATGTATGAAGATGGATGAAGTAAGTAAGCAATTTTTTTTAAATGCCAGTGTTTTGAGGGACAAACATAAATGAAATACATTAAATCACGTCTTCACAGTTTTGAGCAAAGGTAAATTTAGTTTTCATAACTGTATAGCAACCCAAACAAGATCAAACCAACTTAAAACTTTTTTTAGCAGTCACTTATGTAGCTATAGAGTACTCACCAAGAAAAACAAAAACTTAGCTAACTTAGTTATCTTCCTCATAGACTGTTGACAAGCATTTGCTACCAATCAGAATTGGTTCATGTGTATAATCTAGGTGAAGGACACAAAATCTAAATTAAGGTAAATGGGTATTTCCACCACCATTGTTGTTTCTGCTTTTTTTTTTTTTTTTTTTTTTTTTCTCTAAAAGAGGAGGTAAAAGTAAAGAAATTTATCTTACCACCTCCTGCTCACTCCCTCTGCATCAACCATGCAGAATAAATTTGGGAACATCATCTATTGTGATGCTTTACTTGTTGATCAATTCATATGATGATTAATAGGTTCAGTGGCATTAACCTTGTAGCTAATTATGATATTGATTTATTTTGGTTGTAAAATTTATGTATCTTGCCCTTTTCTCTGTTAAGTGTGCAGTGATTCTTGATGGAGAGGGATCGGGTTTTATTTCCTTTGTTGGACATAGGAGGTGACTTATAAATGTTAATATATATTGACAGCAAACTGTATTTCATCTTTTGTATGTTTTTCATAACTTTCCAGTATGCTTATAAAGCTAATCCTATTTCTTGGTAGTTACCTAGTCAAATGTTTCTTTTGAGTTAAGATAATTTTCTCTCTACCTCTTAACTTACTCATGCCACCTGTATGACACTCACTTTTTTTTTTTTTTTTTTTTTTTTTTTTGTGAGACGGAGTTTCGCTCTTGTTACCCAGGCTGGAGTGCAATGGCGCGATCTCGGCTCACCGCAACCTCCGCCTCCTGGGTTCAGGCAATTCTCCTGCCTCAGCCTCCTGAGTAGCTGGGATTACAGGCACGCGCCACCATGCCCAGCTAATTTTTTTGTATTTTTATTAGAGACAGGGTTTCACCCTGTTGACCAGGATGGTCTCGATCCCTCGACCTCATGATCCACCCGCCTCAGCCTCCCAAAGTGCTGGGATTACAGGCGTGAGCCACCGCGCCCGCCGACACTCACTTTTATTAATGATTCTACCTTTATCAGCATTCCAGCTTCTTCCAAGTTCATCTCAGATTTTACCTTGGCTTTAAGTTTCTTTCTAATAATCCTAACCGGACTGATCAGTCTTTAATGTCATAATGTCCATAATTTCCTCACATAGTCAGAATTTGTGCTACGCTTTATAAGCCATTTCTCTCCATCTTAATCTACCCAGCTAAAACTTAACATCCCTTTATGTTTTTGGTCTTCTTGATAGAGTCTGTTATTATGTTCTGTAACCAGTAATCGATGTTTAATAGATGAGAGTTTTTTATTGTACCCAAAGCTCCCTCTTGTGGTATTTGGTATAATGTAGTGTGAAATGATTAACAGTGAAAATTATCTTTAATGAAAATGAAGTATGAAATAATTTCCTAATAGAATGCTAAACTTGTTTATGCCTGATACACATAGTAGAAGACATTTTGTGCTGTACTTCCATGAATGTATTTGGATTTTCATTAAACCAAAAACTTTTGGGGCTGGGGTGCAGAGAGGTAAATCATATTACATGTTTTTAGGAAGGATAAGGGTGGTTAAGGAGAGAAAGGTGTAGGTAGAGTAGGAGAATACGGGGAACAGGATAGAATATGGTACCTACAGAATAATTGTTTAAGCATGTAAGCAGATACTAAAATCAGCTATTGAAATACTTAAATTGTCTCTTTACAAGGCAAAATTATGGCCTAATTTTGTTTACCATTTTTACTTTAATTTATTATTTCTAATAAAAATTTAAAATATGGACTACTTCAAGAATTTGCATGTTATGCTTGTGCAGAGGCCATGCCAATCTTCTCTGTATCGTTCTAATTTTAGTGTATGTGCTGCCAAAGTGAGCACTGTTTACTGTTTTTAAACTCAGGTTCAGACAGTTGAGCTAATTATATTCCTTGGTTCATAGTTTATTGTCATGAGTAGTCAACACAAAGGCCTCATCTTGTTTTCATTTTATATTTTCCTCGCTTCTCTCTTTCCTCTCCCTAATAGATAGCTACTATATGTTTACCATATGCTTTTGCAGAGTATTAGTGTAGTGTGCATATATGTTCTTAGTTGGTATAAACAGTGTCTTGCTATACATGTCATTTTGTTTACTTTTGTTACTCAGCATGGTTTTTATGTCTCTCCCTTATAAATGTCAGTTAGTTCATTGCTTCTTTCTGCTACTTTAGTATCTGTCAATCAGTTTACCTTATTATCCTCTGGGTGTTGATTTCTAGGTCACCTCCAAATCCCTGCTAACAGCAAGACTGCCTTGAACATCTTTATACATGTCCCATGTATATGCTGAGAAGGGATTCTCTAAGTATAAACATAGAAGTGAAACTACTGTATCAGAGGGTACATAAAGAATTGCCTGATCTCCAGAATGACTGTGAATGTTTGTAACTTTTTACTAGTAATGCATGAGAGATCTTGTCTCCCCATATCCTTGCTAATGCTTATTATTCAGCTCTCTAAGGGTTACCAGTTCCATTGATATACAGTAGTATGTTTAAATAATTAAGTTTATCTTATTGGACTAAGTTAGTCAAGGAAAAAGTAAATAAAAATTACATTAATCTTTTTGAGTTGTTGTTGTTGTAGACAGGGTCTCCTCTATTGCCCAGGATGGAGTGTTGTGGTGTAATCATAGCTACTGTAGCCTGAAACCCCTGGGCTCAAGGATCCTCCCACCTTATCCTCCTCAGGCATTGCACCACCACACCTGGTTCATTTTTTAATGTTTCTGTAACTAATGATGACAAACCTCTCTTCCTGTATTTGTCAGTCATTTCTGTTTTGTGAATTACCTGTTTGTATCTTTTAACTCTTTTAAATTGGTTTCTTGTTCATGCACAGGGATTCCTTATATAATCTAGATAGTGATTCCACAGATACTGCTGATAACATCTTCCAGTGTGTTACCCGTCCATGCCTTCCTTTGTTTGAATAGAAATCCTTCATTCTCATGTAGTCAAAGATTTTTTCTTTTTTTTAACAAATACTGAGCTTTAAAAGTGTTGTTGCCGGGCACGGTGGCTCAAGCCTGTAATCCCAGCACTTTGGGAGGCCGAGGGGGGTGGATCACGAGGTCAAGAGATCGAGACCATCCTGGTCAACACGGTGAAACCCCGTCTCTACTAAAAATACAAAAACATTAGCTGGGCATGGTGGCGCGTGCCTGTAATCCCAGCTACTGAGGAGGTTGAGGCAGGAGAATTGCCTGAACCCAGGAGGCGGAGGTTGCGGTGAGCCGAGATTGCGCCATTGCACTCCAGCCTGGGTAACAAGAGTGAAACTCCGTCTCAAAAAAAAACAGGAGAAAAAAAAAAAGTGTTGTTTTACCCGCAACCTCCATTCCTTAAGCAATACTAAGGATAATTATTCAATGTTTAAAAAAAAAAGAGTTTTTTATTAAAACTATAGTACATTGAATTTATAATTTTCTATTGGTTGTTAACATGAATAGTGTTATTACAAGTTTAGGATTCAACACTTCCTGTGCCTTTGTTTCATTATTATTACTATACTAAAGCCATTAGAAATGTCCATAGTTTTGGCCAGGCATGGTGGCTCACACCTGTAATCCCAGCACTTTGGGAGGCCAAGGTGGGCAGATTGCTTGAGGCTAGGAGTTCAAGACCAGCCTGGCAAACAAGGTGAATTCCCGTTTCTACTAAAAATACAAAAATTAGCCTGGCATGATGGTGCATGCCTGTAATCCCAGCTCCTTGGGTGCCTGAGGCATGAGAATTGCTTGAACCCAGGAGGTGGAGGTTGCAGTGAGCTGAGATCGCACCAGGCCACTGCCTCCAGCCTGAGTGACAGAGCAAGACCCTGTCTCAAAAAAAAAAAAAAAAGAAGTGTCCGTAGTTTTATTCTCATCCACTTACAGAAGGGATTAGCAAACTAGAACACAAGGGCCTGTGACTTGGTTTTATACGGCTTACATGCCAAAAATAATTTTTACATTTTTAAAAGAAGAAAAATGTGTGACAGAGACCCTGTGTGGCCTACAAAGCCAAAATATTAAGTCTGGCCCTTTACAGGAAAAATTAGCCAAAATTATCTATAATATAGACATACATACACAAATTATTTTCAGCTGTTTTGGCTTCCTATAAAATGTTATGCCATGGATAAAAGCAAAAATAAAATACAACTATAAACTTATAAGGACAAAAATAACTTGTCATTATCAGAATTAAGAGTAATGGTGTCTTATTAAATTCTATCATTGATAAATCATATGTTACACAACTTTCTGGATGCAGTTCTTCTATTACCCTTATTCTCTCAATAAGAAAAAACTGATCTAAATGTGAGTGAGAGTCACGTTGTAAGATACTTATGTGTAGATTTCTCTCAGTGAAAGCTGGGAGCTACTGCTATATTGGGTTTACTCTTTGTCTGTCATGCATTTTATAGCAACCTTTTAAGACTATATGTTAATATTTTAAATTACCTGAAGAGGCTGGGCGTAGTGGCTCATGCCTATAATCCCAGCACTTTGGGAGGCCGAGGTGGGTAGATCACCTGAGGTCAGGAGTTCAAGACCAGCCTGGCTAACATGGCGAAACCTTGTCTCTACTAAAAATACAAAAATTAGCTGGGCGTGGTGGTGCAGGCCTATAGTCTGAGCTACTCAGGAGGCTGAGGCAGGAGAATTACTTGATCCCGAGAGGTGGAGATTGCAGTCAGTCGAGATGGTGCCACTACACTCCAGCATGGGTGACAGAGTGAGACTCCATCTAAAAAGAAAAACCTGAAGATAGGATACGATTTTTATCTGTTAATATTCTAGTGTATGCCATTTGATTAAATAGAGGCTGTAATTTTTTAAAAGCTAACTGGTAGCTTTTTTTAAAGTAATTTTAAAAAAAAGATATGCATTTTCAAAAGGTTTCTCAGATTATTTTAAATGTATCAGATTAAATGTGTATTTGCTAAATGTATTTGATGTGTTATGGACAAAAATATCATAAATTGAGAGAATTTACTGAAAACAGAAGAATTTACCAAAAACAGAAGCTGTAGATGATTCTTTTAAAAAATTCCATTTACAGTTTTTCTTTTCCACTTTTATAGGAAGGCTTTCAGTTGTTTTTAGACTAACTCCAAGATTTTCAATTCACCAATTTTTTGTTTTCAGTTAGTTATCTCGATATATCATAGGTTTTGTCCATGATAACACCTTAAATATATTTAGAAAATACACACTTAATCTGATGTATTTAAAATAAAATAATTTGAGAAACCATTTGAAAATGCATAACTGATTATCCTGAATTCCAGCTTAATACCCCTCAGTAGATTTCTGTCATCTGCTGAATTAAGTTTGAACTCCTTAGCTTGTCACATAAAATTTCTTCTGATGATGTGACCCTCTGCCTGCTTTTGTACCCTATTCTCTATCTTTTGACAGTACTTTATGGCTTAGAAGTCTTGAGTTACATGTAGTTATTTCTGTACTATGATATATCATGATTCTTGGCCCGTATATATGCTGTCTAATAATTTGCCTGGCAAGCCCCCATTCATATTTTGAAACTCAGTCCACAGTTTGTCATCTTGTGAAAGCTCCTTAGGTTGGCTTCTTTGTCCTTTCCACATATCCGCCTTGTGAGGTGTTTTCTTATTTTTTGACACTGTACAATGTTCAAGACTTATCTATTTTCTCTGTCTCAGCTCTGGAATCACCTGCTTCTCCAAGAAGCTCTGATTCTTTTTATTAAAGAATGGCATTTAGAAATCAGTAATTGGGTGCTAGATGTGCTCATTGCTTCTAGACTGTCATTACTTCTAGACCTTGTCAGCTGACAGAATTAGGGGGTAATGTATTGTATATACTAAATGTACTAAACCATAAACCACATGTACACGTGTTTATATTTAATTTTGTGTATGTCTCTATATATAGCATATTAAAAATTGGGAGTTCATACTGGTAACTCTGATTCAAGTCCAGCACCACTGGGTTTATTCTAGTCTCCCTCCTTTCTTTTTTATAGTTTCTTTCATGAACAGTAAAAACCTTGCATCTCATTATCTGCAGTATATTTACTGATATTGCCCACTGTTGGGCGGGCAAAGGCTGGAAAGAAGGGAGTAATGATTGGTATGTGAATGTAGTTTACTATTAATAACTACTATTGTATAGTAAATACTATTACTATTAGTAATTACTATATAGAGTATAATAGTTTATAATCAATACAAATCTTTAGTCCTACCTAAGATTTATTCTGCAAGTGGTTATTCACACTGATGGGCAGCCTACTGTTCCAGCCTTCATTGTATGGAACTTTACATTTAGTTGATTTGGATTTCACTGCATTTTCTTGAACATATTTATACCAGGTTCTTCCTGTTTCTTTATTTATGCTCTTTTTTTCCTATCTAAATTGTCATACTGCCCTCTCTCCTTTAAACCCTAACTTATCTGTTCTTTACAGCCTAACTTTAGACCAGTTCTTTCTTATCTTGCTCTTTCTTCTCCTTCCTCTGAACCTTTGAATGCTAGATAATTTTTCCTTTGGTTGCATGTGTTTGTGTGTGTGTTTGTCTCCAGTAAGGTGATTTTAGTAGCTAAGCCTCATATAATTTTTTACAAGTCTAATTTCTATGGATATATGTGAAGAAAGGAAATTTTCTTTAACTTAATAAGTGTCTATTAGTTTTTCCCACAACAGAAGTCTAGACTGTAGGACAGTCCATGATAAAAATTAATTGTATACCCGCCTTTTGAAGTCAGGCACTGTCTTGTTCATCATTTGTCATTTGTAATAATCCACACAAAGATTACTCCCCTAGGTTGCCTAGTTATGTCCATAAAATTTATTTTTTAAATTTCTGTTCAAACTAAAATAGCTTTAATTCTCGATTTGCTGTATATGTGGGAAAATAAAACCATTGAATTAGTTCTACCAATTTGAGAATGAATGAAAAAAATTTTGAAATTAACTCCCCATGTTTAACATATTTTATAGCACTTAAATAAAAAGTGCAATAAAGTTACATAAATTAGGTTTACAAAATAGGTTCAACCTCCTTTTCTCAAGGTAGCCATAATACTTATTATTTGGTAGTTTGTATAGCTTCTCCTTATGAGGAATGTGGGCAACACATTCTTTACTGCACAGGTGAAGGAAATAAAGGGTACTTAAATTAATCTCTCAAATCATTGCAAGTTGAACAGAGCTAGAGGTGAAGAAATACCAGTTAGCACTATACTTCTCTAGTCATTTAATTTTGCAGCATGCAGACACATACACCCCTATAATGGTTATTGTACTTCTCAAAAAGACATCAGAGAGGAATTATTTTATTATCTACTGAAACTAAACACAGATAAGTGGTTTCAAAAAATCGTCTTGCCAAATATAGTGATACAACAGCTGCATATTTCTAAATGTATAGCTTTGAAACTTAAAAGATGTTTTAAATTTAAAAATTTGATCTATTTCTTTATTTTTCTTCTTGGTAATGTAAGATCCAATTCTTTATTCAACCTCCAAACTGGGGCCCTTTGTTATCTTAATTGTTTCGGTTAATTCTGGAAATATGAA